GCCTAGGAGTTTGAAGTTGCTGTGAGCTATGACACTATGGCACTCAACCCCAGGGCTCATAGCAACCTCAAACTTCTGGGCTTAAGGAATCCTCTTGCTTTAGCCTCCCAAGTAGCTAGGACTATAAGTGCTCACCACAATACCTGGCTAGTTTTTCTACTTTTAGTAGAGACAGGGTCTCACTCTTGGCTCAGGTTGGTCTCGAACTCCTGAGCTCAAGTGATCCATCTGCCTCGGCCTCCCAGAGTGCTGAGATTATAGGCATGAGCCACTGTGCCTGGACCCTCTGGTGAACTCTTACCAGTGGCTGTCCCAACTTCCTGCTACCTCTTTCCATGAGGACTAAGATTAGGACTGGTTATCCCACAGCCTGGGAATATGACAGTGCAGGCAGCAAAGCCAGCCACTTGATGAGTGCTGAAGAGGTCACTGGGGCTAGCCTTGAATGTAGAGTTACAGAGCCCCTGGGAACATGGGCTGGGGACAGGCTGGAATGCAGTAGCCCAGGGAGGCCAGGCAGGGAGTCAAGGACTGTGCAAGGGATGGCTCTCCAGGCTCTGCTTTCACGTGAATAAAACACCATGGAGCCAGCTGTGCACACAGCTGGTATCCAGCTTCCCCTCCACACACACACACACACACACACACACAGAGCTGCCCTCAGCTCAGGGGTTAGCTGTTCTGTGTCAGCCCCTCAACAATACCCAAGGATCTGTTAGTTAAACTGGGGTTTCCCCATCTGAAAATCCACATCAGGCTTCAGGGAAGGGGCCCCCAGTCTTGCTCCTGCCCAGAACTCCAAGGCTCAGAGAGGGCCCTGGTGACTCTCAGACTGGCCTCCAGGGGGCGCCAGTGTCAACCCCAATGTTAGACATCCAAGCTGTAATCGTTCACTTTCTTACCTAAACAAGGACCATCCTACACACTCCTGTTTGGAGACCCTTGAGGGGAGTGAGGGGAGTAGGGGACTGAGGAAACTTGCAGAGAGAGTAGATGTGAGGAGGGCAGGCACAAGCTTGCTGAATGATGGGGGTGCCTAGGAATCAGCCCCCTCACAAGCGGTAGGCTGAGCTTCCCCATACTCACTGTTTCTCCAAACTCAACAATCCCTTCCCTGCCTTTGGAATACCTGCAGGGCCCGGGGGTGGCGTGGAGTGTGGGTGCTCCCAGCCATCCCAGGTGCCTCACACAACCCAGCCATTTGCCCCATTTGGTATAGTCAAGGCTGCTAGACTCCTTCCCAGCCTTCCATAAAGAGCTTGCAATTTCTGCCCCACCATAGGGAAGAAGGAACCTCAACTGAGCTGGGTCCCCAGGGTCAAGGGTGCCACAGTGAACTTGCCCTGTATCAGGGCTGCCCTTGTCCTGTGTCAGGGTATTTCCCCAGGTTGTTGGCCTCCTCACAAACTGACCTGTTTCCCCATTTCATCTCTGGTTCTTCAAACTTAGCAGCCCCCATCCCACTTCCTGACTGCCCCTTATGTCCCATGCCTGGCTCTGCACCTGTCATACAGTCCTAGCAGCAGTCCAGGGGAAGGGCACTGCAGTCACTTGCTGTGTCCTGGGGAAGCTGGGGCAGAGGGGTTCATTGACTGCCATGGTCACAGAACAAGACTTGAACTCCTGTGGCTTTGGCTGAGCCTGGCAGGCCTGAACTTTCCCACTCCCACACCTCTTTACCTCAGCCCAGCACAGAGGAGCCAGGCTGCCAGTATTCAAGTTCCTGCTCTGCCACTTATCAATTTATTCCTAAATTCCCTGAACCTCAGTTTCCCTATTTATAAATTTGAGATAGAGAAAATCTTCCTCCTTGAGGTGTTGCAATGGTTAAAGGAAGAAATTAAATGCATGTAAAGTCACAGCTATGATTATATATGAGGTACACTGTATTCCTGACTAGGGTGGGACTCTGAGGAGGGTTGGGGGTTGGCCATCTGCCCAGTGATGAAGCCATTTGTGGTAGTGGCAACAATCACACGGAAGAAACCACATGTGACCCCAGAGGATTGGCCTGAGCCAAGGCACATGCCCCCTCCAGGGCTGAGCACCAACCACCTGCTCTGAGTGTGACCCATGCAGGCCCTGCTTCTGCCCTGGGTAAGCCTCAGCCTCCCTGAGCTGCTCTTCCCATCTGCAAAATGGTGGGGAGGGAGGAGATTGCACTTGTTTCCCTCCACACTCGTGGGGTGGGGCATAAATAAAGAACTGTCTGGGAAGGTTGACTGGCCCTGGCACAGGAGACTATTACTGCTGTCAAGTGGAGAGATCCACGTAGTTTCTGGGTCTGTGACCCCCAAGGTAGAGATCCAGACGTTAAAGACAAACACCCAGGTGCTAGAAGCCAGAGTCTGCAGAGGCTGATCAGGGAGGGCTTCCTGGAGGAAGTGACATAACACCAGGGGACACCATAAATTATGGAGACTCAAGAAGTTCTCCTGGTATAATGACAGGTGTTGGGGGGAGGATGTAATCTCATATAATTTTAAACAGACTCTAGGCTCAGCGCCCATAGCAGTGGTTATAGCACCAGCCACATGCACCAATGCTGGCGGGTTTCAACCTAGCTCGGGGACTGCTAAATAACAATGACAACTGCAACAAGGACAACAAAATAGCTGGGTGTTGTGGCAGGTACCTGTAGTCCCAGCTACTGAGAGGCTGAGGCAAGAGAACTCTAAGCCCAAGCGTTGGAGGTTGCTATGAGCTGTGACACTACAACACTCTATCCAGGGTGACATAGTGAGATCTGTCTCAAAAATAAATAAAAATAAATAAATAAAACAGACTCTATCATTATGCCTGTGGGCAGAGTGTCCAGTGAGAGCTAGGAGGCCTGAGAAACTGAATTCCCCAAAGGGGTGATGGCATCTGTGGGGCATCCGGGTGTGATTTGGGTTTTCTTTCTTGGGGAGGTTTCCTCCAAGTAATTCACCTTCCCCCAGAAGCTGCCCACATGTGGTTCGGCGGAGACTTAGGAAAGAGTGAAATGGAAAAAGAACCCAAACTGTACTTGGGGCAACTCGGCATCCCTGAACACCCAGACGTAGCCAGAGGCGTCCCTGTCCTGAGGGACCCCCGCTGTCCCCCACCGCACACACACCTAACGACTAGGATTGGACAGCCAAGGCCAGGCCTGACCCCTGACCGCCCCCCACCCTCAGGGCCTGGCGGGGCGGTGCTGGGCGCCGCGGGCTCCCGGCCGCAGTGTCGCCGCAGCGCCAGCCCCGCCCCCGCCCGCTCCTCCCCGTCCCCCCCGCGGCCGCGGCCCTGAGCGCTTTCCCAGCCCAGGCCCGCGCCGAGCCAGGTGAGAGCACGCCCGGGGACCCTGGCCCTCGGGACCTCGGTCCCCACCCAGCCGCCTGGCTTCAACGCCCCGCGCCCAGGGCCAGCGGGCGATTGGGAGTCTCGGACCCGGGGACAGCGCGTTGGGGGCTGGGGATGGGCAGTTGGACCAGAGAGACAGGCCAGGGGCTGCAGCGGAGCTCGTCCTTCCCCCCCTCGCCCGCCAGCCCCTTCCCCGCTGGCCGCAGGGACCAGCCCCTTTCTGGGCTGCGGAGTCTGTCAGGGAGACCTGGACGGAACCGGCAAGGCTGATGGCAACTGCACGTGCAAAGGCAGGGAGAGTGGACCAGAGGTTTGCGCCCAAGTCCTAAGGGGAGGGAAAGGGGCCAAGCTCCCAAACCTAGATGCAGGGCTGAGGAGCTGACGCAGCGCCCTCAGGACGCCTGGAAACCACTGAGGCCAAGCTGGGCAGAGCCCGCTATGGGGTGAAGGGGGGAGGAAGACAACATGTTAGCTGGGACCCTGGTGCCCTGGGGGAAGGCAGGGGCTTCTGTGTGAGGTGGGGAGAATTTATTACCTGCCTCACAGGTTGCTGGGGTACTGGGGAAGGGACACAGGCTCTTGGTGAGCAGTTAGCACTGGGCACTGCTAGAACTTTTCAGCATAGGGCCGCTAGCAGACAGCAGACTACAGTCTGTACAAACTTGGGGGCCCCTCACCCTCTGCCTGAGCAGGGTAACCTAGCCTGCAGTGGGCAGGAGGCAATAAAGCCCCACCCAGTCTCCTTCTATGCATGAGGCCCTGGAGGTCTGAAACCCTTGGGAACCAGGGAAGGAAGGGAACAGCTGGAACAGGCCTCTGGTGCAAAGAGGTCTTACCTCTTCTGTGGCCCAGCAGGTGAGGCCTGAGGCCATGCACAAAGAAAGTGGACAGGGCTGAGACATAGATGAAGGGTAGGGGCCTATGAAGGGGCCCCCTGGTGCCCGAGGAAGGGGGAGGGGGGGTAGCCCAGGTGGCTTTGGGAGCCACCCTCTCCTGGCCTGTAATGGGTGACACTAGGGCCGTAAGGTCTGTAAGGTCGGGGCGAAGCAGAAAATGGTCTTCCCCAGCCTGTTTTCTTCCCTTCCCCACCTCCTTGCTCTCAGGCACCTACCTAGGAGCTGGCCAGGAACCCCAGTGGGTTTTAGCCCCACCTCTAGTTAGACATGAGGAAAGAACTTCCAGATACAACAGTGGGATAGAGTGTAGAGGTCAGTTGACAATAGGGTGGTTACACCTTTGTCCTGGCCCTTCCAAAGTCCACCTGTCAGCTACATCTTCCAGAAGGCCCATGCTGTGGCCTTGAGGGCACCTTGGCATGGCAGCACGGATTTCTCTTAGAACTAACTAAAGTGGAGAGGGGGGACACCATACACATACCCTGACCTGCTGCCTGACCTTGACAAGACCTGCCCTTTTCCTCCCCACCCCGCCCCCTTTCTCCGTCTGCTGCTGGGCATGAACTCAGTACCACAGGCCTGGTGGGCATTAGTGATAGACCGGAGTGGGGGTGGAGGAGCTTATGGCTGCTGAGCATGGGTGGTGGCAGGGCTATGTGCCTGGCTTCCCTCTCTCCCCTAACCCTGTCAGGCCTGGGCTGGCCGCCCATTTTTGTTCACCACAGAGCTAGGTTTCCCTGGGGACCAGAGACTTGCCCCGCCCCATACCCACCCCTAATGCTCCTGACCATAGCTCATGCTGGGAGGAGGGGTGGAATCTGGGCCGCCTCCTGGACCCCTGCCCTCTTTGCCTGGCCTTCCAAGGCCAGGCAGCCTCAGGCTGGAAACAAGGAGAAGTGATGGCCCTTAGAGGAGGTGGGTATCCAGAGGGCTAGCCATGGTGGGGCTAGGGCTAGGGGGAAGCCAGTATCACCCCACCATTGTAGGAAGGAGAAACCCAAGGACCAGGAGGTCCTTGGCTTGCCCCAGATGACTCAAGTTTTGACTCCAGGCATGGTGGCCTCCCAGGCTGTAGGATTTCTAGAGGGAAAGTCAAGGGTGGGGAGCCTGCTGGGAAAGCAGGAATCTGGGAGGACTTCCTGGATAAGGCAGTTGTGGGGCTGGACTATGTGTGGCTGAGGTTGGGGCAGAGGGGCTCCCCTGGTGGGCAGGCACAGCCCAGGCAAAGGCAAGAGGGGGGACCGAGGGTGCTGGGATGGACAGCCCTAAAGGGGAGGTTCATTACGGGGGTCCCATGCCTCTGGGACCCAGCTTCCCTACACTCATGGGCTCCCGGTTCAAATGCAAGACTCTTCCAGAAGCTTGTCTCTGTGTCTCTCCCCACTCCCCCATTAAAGCCCTTTCCTGATGCAGGTCCTGGAGGCAGCTGGGATGGCATCTCGAAGGGCTGCAGGGGGTCCAGCCCCATGGGGGGCGCCCTAGGTCTTTGACAGCCCACCATCTGTGCTCCTCTGGCCAACCCAGCCTCAGGCCACTCACCATGGGCAGCTGCTTCTCCAAGCCCAAGCCAGGTACCTCCCCTCTCTTGCCTTCATCCTTCTTTCTCCCTCCTGTCTCTCCTCCCGCTCCTCCTCCCCCTCTGCACTTGCCACCGAAGTAGGTCAGGCTAGGCAGGAGCCGCTCAGAATGTTAATACACTGCAGGCAGGAGGGGGTGGGGGCCTGGAGCAGCTCTCCCGGTCCCCCTCCAGTGGATGCCCCTCTTTATCTGGGGCTTTGGGTGCTAGTGGTGGGAATAGCATCTGCACCCTTCTTGGAAAGGGAAGAAGAGGGTTCCTCCTGTTGTGGGGGAGGGGAGGGAGCTGTATTCCTCAAGGCTTGGGAAGTGGGCTTCTGGGGACACTCTCAGCCACTGTGTGACCTAGTACATGCAAATTACTTCACTGAGCCTCATGTTGCCTCTCTACCAAATGGGCCTGAGCACTCTGACCTCTGTACTTGCTGTGAGGAGGCAGCAGGCAGGTCCCTCCTGGCTTTACCTCTCCTGCCCCAGCCTCATGCCCCATGTGATCTCAGGCAGCTTCCTGGGCCATACTGGGCACAACTCTCCATTTGTACAGGAAATATCCACCCTACCCAGTCTGAGCAGTTCCAGCCAGAAGTGGGGCATCTTGGATGCTAGGGATGGCCTGGGTCTGCTCTCCACTGGAGACTCAGGTTTATGGGGCTCTCCCTCTGGGCCCCACTGTCCCTTTTCTACCTTACAACACCTAGGGAGGGAGTGGCATGCAGCTGTGTCACAGATGGAGAAACTGAGGCCCAGAGAGGTGTCTAAAGCCCAGCCAGTGCTGCACCTGCCCCCACCAGCCACCCTGTCCTGGCCAGCTTGCCCAGCCAGCTTGCCCCAGCTCCCCTTACCTGATACTGGTCGGCTCCATTACCTTGGAGCTTGTGAGCTTTTTCTCCTTTTCCTGGGTCTAAAGGAGAACTTAGGGGAAGGAGGAGAACTGTGCTGCCCCACCAGGCAGAGGGACATGCCTGGTCTTTCTCCCCCAAATGCTGTGCTATGGATACCCAGGCCTAGCTGGATCCCACCATCCTCCTTCCCCAAAGCATGCCTTAGGAAAATGAGGTCCACTGCTCCCCACTTTTAGAGGTGGGCAGAAGGATGCCAGCTGGCTGCATACTGGTTGCCTGTGGGACTACTGGGCTAGGAGGAGACCCTGAGAAAAGATGCCACCTGCAAGTTCTTTTAAAGACTCCCAAAGAGCTGGTCTGCCTGGGACATCCAGCCCCAGGACTTCCAGTGTGGGGGCTGGCCACTGTCACCACCCCATAGGCAATGCTAAGAGCGTGGACTTTTAAGACCAAATCCAGTCTTGTGGCTGTGTGGCAGTAGGCAGGTGATTTCACCTCTCTGAGCTTAATGTCTGCACAGGGCCTGGCACACAGGAAGCACTTATGGAACATTATTATCCCTCTTCTCTGAGCTGGGCTCTCTGCAGCTATAGGTTCCCCTATGGGCTATAGCCAGAGGCTTGGGTCCAGATACCCACATTGGGCAGGTCAGGGGCAAGGCTCAGAGAACTTCAGGGAGTGAGAACATTTGGGCCATGAATGTTCAGCTGGGGAGACCAGAGCAAGCAGGACATCTTTGTACAAATTCTTCACTTTCTTGAACTCCTGAGTTCAGGAGATCTTCCTGCTTTGGCCATGCAGAGTGCTAGGATTACAGGTGTGACCTATTGTGCTTGGCATATTTTTTTTTAAGAAAGAGTCTCAAAATTTTTTACTTTCTATTCTGTCCACTTGATTCTGTGTCTCAGCGTACATCAGCAGACAGCATATCCTGCCTGAGCTCTCCTCTTGCTTCTATCCATGAGAAGATGCCAGGCCACTCTCTCACTGGGCACAGAACTAGGGAGAAGTGCAGTTCTCTTGACATCTGGTCACCTACCTTTTAGTAGGCAAAAGTGCTACCTAAAGGCTTTCCCTTCTTACCATGGCTGCTAGGGGGCTCAAAGCTGACTGATAAAACACTACTACCAATTCCATCTGCTGAGTTTCTACTCTGGATTACACATACTATCTCCTTCAACATTCACTATCACCAAAGAGGTAGGCACTGTGTTCTGTTTTGTAAGGAGGCAGCATCCTTTTTTTTTTTTTTTTTTTGAGACAGAGCCTCAAGCTGTCACCCTGGGTAGAGTGCCATGGCTTCACTGCTCACAGCAACCTCCAACTCCTGGGCTCAAGCGAGTCTCCTGCCTCCGCCTCCCAAGTAGCTGGGACCACAGGCGCCCACCACAACGCCCGGCTATTTTTTGGTTGCAGCCAATATTGTTCTTTGGCGGGTCCGGGCTGGATTTGAACCCGCCACCTTAGGTGTATGTGGCTGGCGCCTTAGCCGCTTGAGCCACAGGCGCTGAGCCAAGGAAACAGCATTTTAAGGACCAAAAGGTCTTATGGGTAGCTGGGGTTGATGCTATGGGTGAACAGAGATTACCCCCCCAACATCTATCTACCTTTCCACTGCTGCTCCTGCTTCCATTAGACTACATGGGCAAGCATACCTTTGAGCCTTCTGAAAGGAGGCAGAGGATGTAAATAGCCTGGCTTGGCCATAATCTGCACCCCCCCACACCGGGTTATTCCTGTGAGCTCCCACAGCTCACTGTGGTGTCAGCTGAATCCAAAGTATTTTTCTTTTTAATTCTTCCAAAAACATTCTAACACCATTACATAAAATGTAGAAAATGGAGAGGAAACACCCCACCCATGGCGCCCCACCTGATTTAACAGTCTCCACTGCTCTGCACGTCCCCTGCCAGGCTGAAGTCAAGGAACTGACCCTCTGGCCCTGTCCCCTGCTGAGTCTGGGCTTGAGCTGGGGGCTGGGACATATGGATGGGGAGGAGGACTGCCCTCTAAGGCTCCAGGGCCTGGCCAGGGTGGGGGATTAGTGCAGCATGAGATGAGGACATGATGGGCTGGGGCAGGCAGGAGAGGCAGCTCCCAAGCTGTGTCTGGGTGGGTGGACAGGGATGGCAGTCCCAGCCAAGGGGAATGCACAGGCAAAGGCCAGGAGTGTGTGTTGTCTCAGCAGCTAGGCTAGGGTCTTTGTTTCTGGGGTGTCAGGTCTGAGATGCAGGGAAAGAGAGATGAATCCAGGAAGAAACTGCAGACTGGTACCCTGGAGATGGAAAGAGGCGCCCTGTTCTGGCGTCCGGCCCACGCTGTGCCAGGGGCTTAGCATCCATCACTCACTCTTCCCTGCAGCAGCCGTGCGGGAGGCTGGATTATCGCTGCTAAAAATTCTGTTTATTGTTCCCTTTTAATTAGAAAAATACCCCAGGCACGTCGTAGGGAATTGGAAAAATGTGGAAAAGTATAAAGAAGAAAATGACAATCTCCAGCTAGTTCTCCTCTAGACTAGGCCCCCCAGGCACGCAGAGAAAGGGCACCCCCTCTTCGCTGTGCACATGTACTCCAACCTGTGGGAGTCGCTCCCCAGAGCCCCAGATCCCTGTACTGAAAACCCAGCACTTGGTTAATGATGAATGATTCTCAAACTGATGAGAATAGCTACTTTAAAAAGTTATGGTTAGGGTGGCACCTGTGGCTCAGTGAGTAGGGCGCTGACCCCATATACCGAGGGTGGCAGGTTCAAACCCGGCCCCAGCCAAACTGCAACAAAAAATAGCTGGGCATTGTGGTGGGCGCCTGTAGTCCCAGCTACTTGGGAGGCTGAAGCAGGAGAATCTCCTAAACCCAGAAGTTGGAGGTTGCTGTGAGCTGTGACTCCACAGCACTCTACCAAGGGCAATAAAGTGAGACTCTGTCTCTAAAAAAAAAAAAGTTAAAGTTGTGGGCGGCACCTGTGACTCAGTGGGTAGGGCACAAGCCCCTTGTATGGAGGTTGGAACCTGGCCCAGGCCAAACTGCAACAAAAAAATAGCTGGGTATTGTGGTGGGTGCCTGTAGTCCCAGCTACTTAGGAGGCTGAGGTAAGAGAATCGCCTAAGCCTGGGAGTTGGAGGTTGCTGTGTGCCACAGCACTCTACCCAGGCAACATAGTGAGACTGTCCTCAAAAAGAAGTTAAACTTGTGCTGTGTACTTTTTTTTTATTTTGAAAAAAATAATTCAAACCTATGGAAAAGTTGTAAGAACAGAACAATGAACATTCAATTTCCTGTCACCCAGATTCACCAGCCAGGATCTGAGCTGGGGGCAGTTTTAGACCTGAGTCTGCACATGAGTCATACACTGTTGACCATCAGAAGATGCGAGACTTAGGGCCTCAGGATTTTTTCCTCCACATAGATTCCAGGAGAAGGGAGAGTTTCAGAGTCAAAAGAACTCTGAACTGTGCCTCCCTCATTAACTTTTTTTTTTTTTGACAAAGAGTCACTTTGTCATTCTTGGTAGAGTGCTGTGGCGTCACAGCTCACAGCAACCTCAAACCATTGGGCTCAAGTGATTCTCTTGCCTCAGCCTCCCTAGTAGCTGAGACTATAAGTGCCCACCACAACACTAGGCTATTTTTGGAAATGGGGTCTTGTTCTGGCTCAGGCTGTCTTGAACCTGTGAGCTCAGGCAATCCACCCACCTCAGCCTCCCAAGTGCTAGGATTACAGGTGGCAGCCACCTCATTAACTTTGTAATTGAAAAACAAACCATGCAGAATAATTAGTTCAAGCAGACTCAGAGCCACTTTTCCTCTGCTTCTTGCTCTCTTTATGGCTTTTTGCTGGTGAGGCAGAGGGAGTCCTGGAGAGGGCAGGTCTGAACCTCCCAGCACCCAGAAGAGCTGGCCCCTGCAACCAGCTTGAGGTGGGAGAAGACAGGGCCAAGTTGGGGGCTCATGGTGTTGTCCCCCACAGTGGAGCTCAAGATTGAAGTGGTGCTGCCGGAGAAGGAGCGGGGCAAGGAAGAGCTGTCAGCCAGCGGGAAGGGCAGCCCTCGGGCCTACCAGGGCAATGGCACAGCTCGACACTTCCACACAGAGGAGTGCCTGCCCACCCCTCACCCCTACCCCGGCCCCCTGGACTGTGTGGAGGCTGCTGTCTGCCATGTCAAGGACCTTGAGAATGGCCAGTGGGTGCTGGGCTTGGGAGGGGATAGAGGGCCCAAGGTGGGAGGGGAAAGTATAAGCCATGAATGGGGGGAGCTGTCCAGGGGAGCCTGGAAGGGGCTATGACCAGCTCCTCCCTGGTCACACTGTTTTTGTGGCTTCTGCTGGTCTGAGCCTGCTCCCCAGAAGGCTGGACTCTGGGAGGAGGTGCCCGCAGGAATGTGGCCTGACCTCTGAGTGCAGCTGCTCCCCAGGATGCGGGAAGTGGAGCTGGGCTGGGGGAAGGTGTTGCTGGTGAAGGACAATGGGGAATTCCATGCCATGGGCCACAAGTGCCCCCACTATGGCGCACCCCTGGTGAAAGGTGAGATGACCAGGGTTCACATGGATGGCAGGGGTGTGGCTCCTCTCTGGGCTTCAGGGTCCTCATCTATTAGTGAGGTCTCCTGGGCTGTGGGGGAAGGGCTAGCAGTTGCTGGGACACAGGGATCCTTGGAGAGGAACCCCTGCCGGTGGCCCCAGCCTAGTGGCCCCAGCCTAGCACCCCCTACTCCCAGGCGTGCTGTCCCGTGGTCGGGTACGCTGCCCCTGGCATGGCGCCTGCTTCAACATCAGCACTGGGGACCTGGAGGATTTCCCCGGCCTGGACAGTCTGCCCAAGTTCCAGGTGGGGCCAGGGTGTGGTGGGTGGGAGCCTGGAGATACAGGGTTGGGGGCTGGTCCTAAGCAATGCAACCCTTGCAGGTGAAGATTGAGAAGGAGAAGGTGTATGTGCGGGCCAGCAAGCAGGTGAGGGGATACCTCTGAGCTCAGGCAGAAAGGATGGATGTGGAGGACAGCCTGGCCCAGAGAACTGCACGTGTAAAGGCCCTGTGGCAGGAAGGAGCCTGGCATGTGTGTCTGGGGAGAAAGTGAGGAGCCATGTGGTGGGGATGAGGTTGGGTTGGACTTGCCTGTTGGAGTGATGGCTCACAGAGGATGTCCATGACCCCAGCTCTCAGCTGGCCTCCACTCTCCCACTATCCCCAGGCCCTGCAGCTACAGCGAAGGACCAAGGTGATGGCCAAGTGTATCTCTCCAAGTGCTGGGCACAGTGGCAGCACCAATGTGCTCATTGTGGGTGCAGGTTGGTGGTGGGGTGTGAGGGACAGGGAGGGAAATGGGAATGGAGGAGAGTGGGCTCTGGCCCATGGCACCCCCACTTCAGGTGCAGCTGGGCTGGTGTGTGCGGAGACACTGAGGCAGGAGGGCTTCTCCGACCGGATTGTCCTGTGCACTCTGGACCGGCACCTCCCCTATGACCGGCCCAAGCTCAGCAAGGTGGGAGACTGGTGAATGGGGACCTTTCCCTCTGGGTACCATTTAGGCCTGTGTCACTGTACACTTGTGACAGGCCTGTCCTTGGTGCCTCCAAAATATCTGGGTTTATTGAGTTCTCTCCTACAGCCCCCATGTAACCGGGGGCTCAATCTCACCCTCCCTGGACCCTGTGTGCTCTACCGTAACATGGAACAGTGGCCACCTGGCCCCGTCTCAAGCTGGCTGTCTCCTACAGTCATTGGACACACAGCCAGAGCAGCTGGCCCTGAGGCCTAAGGAGTTCTTCCGCGCTTATGGCATCGAGGTGCTCACTGAGGCCCAGGTACATGTTAAAGGGTGGGAAACAAGCTCAGGAAAGGGTTAGTGTGAACATGAAGGTCATGAGGCCATGTAGGGGTGCTCAGAGCCCCAGGGCTGGGATGGGAGAGCCTGGTGGGTAAGGGGGGTTTTGGGGGGAAGGTGATGTCCAAAGCTTAAAGAATGAAGCCCAGGCCATGTGCAGTGGCTCACTCCTATAATCACAGCACTGTGGGAGGCTGAGGCAGGAGGATCACATGAGGCCAGGAATTTGAGACCAACTTGAGCAAGAGCAAGATCCTGTCTGTACTAAAAACAGAAAAACTAGCCAGGTGTTGTGGCAGGTGCCTGTAGTTCCAGTTGCTGGAGAGAGTGAGGCAGGAGGATTGCTTGAGCCCAAGAGTTTGAGGTTGCTGTGAGCTATGATGATGCCACCACTATACTCTAGTTAGGGTGACAGATGGAGACTCTGTCTCCAAAAAAAAAAAAGACACACAGAGAGAGAAGCCCAGGTGGCAGGAACACCACCTGTGGGAGCAGCTCTGAGGGTCTGGCTGGGCTCTGGAAGAATTGCAGCCTCCAGGAGTGGGTGGCGAGGCCCAGGTCCATGCCCAAGCCCATGGTGTGCCCGGTGGCGAACCCTGCAGGTGGTCACAGTGGATGTGAGAAACAAGAAGGTCGTGTTCAAGGATGGCTTCAAGCTGGAATACAGCAAGCTGCTGCTGGCACCAGGGAGCAGGTGGGAGGGTGTCCCCTCCTGTCCTCTGTTGGACACTGGGCAGGGCACAGGCCAGGACTGGAGGGCTGGAACTGCCAGAGGCCTTCACTGACACTGCCATGTCTCAGCCCTAAAACCCTGAGCTGCAAAGGGAAAGAGGTAGAGAACGTGTTCACCATCCGGACGCCAGAGGATGCCAATCGCGTGGTGAGGCTGGCCCGAGGCCGTAATGTGGTTGTCGTGGGAGCTGGCTTCCTGGGTGAGTGGTAGAGGCCACTGGGGATGGTTAGGTCATCATGGCCAGTCCCAGGGCAGTGCCAACCCTGAGAGGTCCAGGATGCCAGCCCACCACTCCCTGCCTACTACCCCAGGGATGGAGGTGGCTGCTTTTCTGACTGAGAAGGCCCACTCGGTGTCCGTGGTGGAGCTGGAGGAGACGCCCTTCCGGAAGTTCCTGGGGGAGCGTGTGGGTCGTGCCCTGATGAAGGTGAGCCCAGCCCAGCCCAGTACCCAGCCCCTTGGAGTTCTGGGATGCACCCTGGCTGGGCTCTCATGACTCCCGCTGGCCCACCTGCCCTGACAGATATTTGAGAACAACTGGGTAAAGTTCTATATGCAGACAGAGGTGTCGGAGCTGCGGGCCCAGGAGGGAAAGGTGGGCCTTCTCCCCACGCCCTGCCGCTTGCTGTCCCTCTCTCCTGAGCCTGGCAGCTGGCCCCATCTGCTCATCCACCTGCTCCCCACAGCTGAAGGAGGTTGTGCTGAAGAGCAGCAAGGTCGTGAGAGCTGACGTCTGCGTGGTGGGCATTGGTGAGTGGGTGGGCAGGGTGGCCTTGAGCTAGTCCACCTAAGTGACCTTGAGCTAGTCCTTTCTCCTTCCCAAGTCTTAGTTTCCACATCTGTAAAATGGGGACCCCAACTGAACCCATTTCACAGGGCTGTTGGGGAAGTTGTGTGCCAGGCTTAGCCCAGGCATGGCATGGAAGATGTGCCCACTTCCTAGTGCTGCTGCCCACTAGTGCTCAACCTCATGCCCTGTGCTGTGCCAGCTGTAGGGCACAGAAGTGTCTCTAGCTGGTTCCTGCTTCAGTTGAGGTGCTAGTTTGAGGGGTACAAAGCTGGGAGGTGGCAACACCGGCTTGAGAAGGCCCCTAGCTGGGGGCTTTGTGGAGGCCTTCCTGGAGGAGGAGGTTGATACCTCAGGCCTGATGGGAGGCCCAGGTGTCTGTGGGAGTCCAGGCAGATGGGACAGGATGCAGGAAGGCCCCAGGATGGGCAGCCTGTGGCCATCAGTCTGGGCCTGGTACAGCAAGTGAAGGGTGTGGGGCATAGAGAACACAGAGAAGGGAGAAAGGTGAGATCAGGGAGTAGACACAGTGGCCTGTTCTGTCAGGTGCAGTCCCCGCCACAGGCTTCCTGAGGCAGAGTGGCATCAGTCTGGATTCCCGTGGCTTCATCCCTGTCAACAAGGTGGGGCTGGGGAGGGTGGGGAGGGGGCTGGGCTGGGCATGGTGGGAGGTCCAGGTCAGGGCCCCTGTCCCAACCTCAGAGTCCTGGGTCTTCCCCCTACAGATGATGCAAACCAACGTTCCAGGTGTGTTTGCAGCGGGCGATGCTGTCACCTTCCCCCTTGCCTGGAGGAACAATCGGAAAGTGAACATCCCACACTGGCAGATGGCTCATGCCCAGGGTAAGGCCAACTCCAAGGCAAGTTGGGGGTGAGTGGGATGATAATCCAGGGTCTCAGCCTCTCTCAGGCCCATCCCTCAGTTGCTGGTCTTGGTGCTGGATGCTGTGTTAGGCATTTTAGGACCTGTGGTGGCCTACATGGCCAGGTGACCAAGCCATGCATAATCAGCTCTGTGGCCCATCTAAGAGACTGTCCTTCAGTGCCCTCTGGACACCCTTTTAGCCAGCCAGAGACTCCCAAACCCCGTTGTCCTTCCTCTAGTCTCTCCTTTGCTTTCATCCTCAAGGACACATGCTCTGTGAATTTCTGACCAAGCTGTGCAGTCACCCTGGGGAGGGAGAAGGATTTAGTAGGTCGACTTCCCACCCAGTGCTGTCTCCCTTGGGTTACTTGACTATTTCTGTGAACTCAGCGTCTCATGCAGGTCCCTGGAGCCAGACAATTAGACAACTAGGCCTAGAGACGTGGGCTCAGCATAGACATTGTGCTTTCTGATGAACAGTTTTCTCCCTCCTCACAATTTGGTGGCCACCAAATCCCCCAACCCTCACCCACTGTGCACACCTGGTCTGCCAGCAAGGTAGCTACCTCACTGCCTCATAGAGAGAGGATCACCAGAATCCCAGCCTGGGACAAGGGACTTCTCCTTTGCACCCACCTCCCCTTCCCTCTGTCTTCATATTATCTGGGGGTCTGCTGCTTGCAACCCCACTCTTGGTACCAATTTCTGTTCAGGTTCAAGGACTAAAGTACTAGGTTGTAAGGAAACAAAGGCTCATTAGCAAAGTTTAATTGGGACTTAACTGAGAGAGTTTAGGGGACTCTGATGTACATACCTGTACAAACAGTGTGGTCTAATGGGGGCTCATAGGAACTGACGAGTCAACCACACTATTTTCTGTGGGGCCCTGCGTGTGGCTGCCATCTGTGCTTCCTGAGCTTTTATGCTCCATTCTCCACTCTCTTCAAACCTTATGTATCTGGTTAGCTTTATGTGTGCATGGCTGATTTTGCCAGTTAGCGTCCCAGCTCTAAGAAGCAAACCTTCCGGGCGGCACCTATGGCTCAAAGAGTAGGGCGCCGGTCCCATATACGGGAGGTGGTGGGTTCAAACCCAGCCCTGGTCAAAAAAAAAAAAAAGAAGCAGACCTTCCAAAACAGGACAGTTTGTTCAAATTCTCCAGAGAAGCAATCTAAGTGGCTGGCTTGGAGCCAGGTCATCCCCTCTGCACCAGTCAGCTGCCCCGGCAGGCAGGCTGGACTGAGGTCTGAGCAATGATACCTCTTGACCTATGGGGAGGCTAGGAGAAGTAGCCACTTCTATCAGGGGTCCCCAGAGCACCAGGAGCAGGCAGTGTGGGGTGGGCTGTAAGGGTGAGGGTCAGGGATCTCACTACGCTGGGTCCTGTAGGGCGTGTGGCAGCCCAGAACATGCTGGCACAGGAGGCAGAGATCAGCACTGTGCCCTATCTTTGGACAGCCATGTTCGGCAAGAGCCTGCGCTACGCAGGTAACACCAGGACCCCTGGGAGGGGGCAAGGTCAAGAGCTTGGGGCCCCAGGTTATAAAGATCCTGGGGTGGAACGATGATCTCACCCTAAGAACTCCCTGGGTGGGGCTAGGGAACTACCCAAAGGTGCTTAAACAGTTGGGGTTGGGGATGTCTAGGGCGGGGGTGTCCAGGGCGGAGCTGGGAGGACACAGGGCGCAGACCTACTCTGACATGTGGGTGCCACCGGCCTGCCCGGCCCACAGGCTATGGAGAAGGCTTCGATGACGTCATCATCCAAGGGGATCTGGAGGAGCTGAAGTTTGTGGCTTTTTACACCAAGTGAGAGCAGCAGGGTATAGTGGGGGCGCAAAGCAGCGTGAGTTTGGTGGGGAAGGAGGACTCTTTCTGACTGGATCCCAGCCCTGAGCCCCGCAGAGAAGGGCTGGAGCTTCCCTAGGCAGGCTGGAAGCTTGTGTTGGTGTTTCAACAGTAAACTGTGAATGGGGAGGACCTGAGCTCTGGGACATTCCTGTTACCATGGGCAGGATCCCTCCCTGCACCCCAGGGTTGTGTCAGGGTCTTCAAGAAGGGGGCTGCTGACACAAGCAGTCCTCAAATTCCACCACACTCTCCCTGCAGAGGTGACGAGGTGATTGCAGTGGCCAGTATGAATTATGATCCAATCGTTTCCAAGGTGGCTGAGGTGCTGGCCTCAGGCCGTGCCATCCGGAAGCGGGAGGTGGAGTGAGTGTGGGCATGGGAGGCCTGGGAGTGGGAGGCGGGGTGCTCATTGGAGTACTGGCTCAAGCTGTCTGTGGCAGACAGCTGCCCCCGCAGCCTTCCAGAACCCTACCCCTACTCTTTGTACCCATCAGTCTATAGTTCTCAAGGCTATAGGGAAGTTTGGGGCAAGGACTGCAGTTTGGGAGTAGGTTGGTTATATGTGCTCAGAGTGGACAGAAGGGAAAGGGGTGTGTGTGCCAGGGCAGGGCCAGTGCTGTGGGGAGGGAGCAAGGCCCACTGCTTGAGCAATTGCCAGGCCTGGGGCACTTAACTGGATGTGGTTGAGCTAAGCCCAGCAGAATCTAGGTGGGGAAGCTCAGCTAGTGACGTCCCTGGAAATGCTCTGCACAGAGATGTGGGATGGTTATGGTGGCACTGGACACCACTTGTCACACTCATCCTGATGTGGTGTCAATGAGAGTCACTCTGTGGGAGAGAGTCTTCAGGGACTGGGAGGCCACTGGGAGACTGGAGGTCATGAGACGGGGTAGGTCTCAGGATGGAAACAATGGAGGACCAAGAGGGGACATGATAAATGACATACTCTTTCCCTGGCCTTCTGTTTCTTTCTCTTGCCTTCGCAAAGGCTGTTTGTGCTGCACAGCAAGTATGTGTAACCTCTGTCCTTCCTGTTGACTGTTCTGAGCCTTTTCCACCTCAGCCCAGAGCCTCCACCCAATAGTGTACTTCCATCTGCCTCAGTACAAATCCCTGCTAGGTACCAGAGCCTGGCATAGAGCAGGCTGCTGCTGTTCTCAAGAGCCAGCTGCTCATGGTGCCCACAGTGCTGTCTTCTGCCCTGACCCTTCCTCCCCTTATTTCCACAGGACTGGAGACATGTCTTGGCTCACAGGGAAGGGATCCTGAGCTCGAATGCAGTGGACTTGGGCGGGCATAGTGGGGTCCCAGAGACAGAGGCCAAGCCCTGGGGGCAGGTGCCAATCTCCAATTTTCCAGGATTCCCCAGGGCAGAACCTGAGCCTTCCCAGTGCTTGCCCTTCATGGCCTGGCTCCCCTTTAGGGAGGCCTTTGCTGCCTCTAGAAGATGCTCACCCCCAAAGCCACTGCTGTCACTGATAGCTGGTACTGGAGGCCGGACAGGCCCTGCCTTTTCTCTCTGTTGGGACTGTTTCCTTGCAGGACCTTGCAACATGTTAGAAATTGTCTTAAAATTAAAATGCACACCATTTGCAGATCTGTTAATGACTCTCAGTGTAATTGGGCCCAGGCTTGTGAAGCAGAGAGCAGACCACTGGGGGAAACAGGCACAGTCACAGAGTACTAAGCACTACATCAAGGAAGTCTGGCCCACTGAGGTCAGGGAAAGTTTTTCAGCAGGTGCCTTTGGATCTGAATTTTCTTTTTCTTTTTTGAGACAGAGCCTCAAGCTGTCCCCCTGGGCAGAGTGCCATGGCATTACAGCTCACAGCAACCTCCAATTCCTGGGCTCAAGCGAGTCTC